AAAAAAAAAAAAAAAAAAAACAGCCAGAAGTAGGACTCAGCCTCACAACTGATTTCCTGACCACTACACCATACTGCCTCTCTGTATCATTTTAACGTCATGACTCCCAGGGATTTTTAACCTTCTTGTAATCCAAGACTTCAAAACACCCTACATCAAAAGAATAGTTTCCTTTAACACTTACTCTGTCTTTGTCATGTAGCATATCTGCATAGGATGACCTAAAAAACAAAAAATGACAGGTAACCTTTACATGATACACATCAACACATGAAAGTATTCACACATACCTAAACAGAACAAACGTGTCATGTATTTTAAACTATTTTTGGATTTCCATGCCTCAGCCTCCCAGGTAGCTGGGATTACAGGCACTTGCCACCATGCCTGGCTAATTTTTGTATTTTCAGTAGAGATGGGGTTTCACCATGTTGGCCAGGCTGGTCTTAAATTCCTGACCTCAAGTGATCTACCTGCCTTGGCCTCTCCAAGTGCTGGGATTACAGGCATAAGCCACTGTGCCTGGCCTATTTTTTTGTTTATTTTTAGAAACACGGTCTCACTATGTCAACCAGGCTGGAGTGCAGTGGTTATGAACAGCCTCAATCACTGAGCACCGCAGCCTTTAACTCCTTAGCTCAAGAGAACCTCTTGCCTCAGCTCCGAAACAGCTAGAACTACAAGCATCCATCACTGCACCTGGCCATTTTATTTTAATAGTTTTAAGATGTTATTGCCTAGTGCTGCAGAAAAAAAGTCTCAGAGAAAGATGTTCTCAGACCTAAAAATGCTCCAGTAGTTAACCCTGTTACAGTAATTCCACAGCCACTAGCATCCTGATCTTGTTATATGTTATACATTTTACTCCTCAGGAAAAACTCAGACTCAGTCTGCCTAATACTTGACCTAACCTTGCATACATCTGTGCCTGCAGATAACCACTGATGTTAACACTAGGGAGAACGGCTGAGGAAAGACATGCACTCACACACACCCACTGTTTATGTGACAGGTATCCCACTGGGCATGCTCACTTACCATCATCACGGAAAACTAAGAGTTCACCAATACTGTACTAAAGGGAGGAGAGTCACTTTTCCATATTTCCTACTACAGTAATTCACACATCTGAAAACCCTCAGGCAGGGTCTGGATGAGCACCCAGAACTAGGCAGGCCCTCCCAGACTTTCTGGGAATTGCAAAGGAAAGCTAAGGCACTCACACTAAAACAGAGGCCCTCCAGGCCTGGGTCAACACCAGAATCACTAGAAACTTATTTGAAACGCAGAGCCCGAGAACACACACACACAGACACACAGGCACACAGACACACTCTCTCTCTCTCTCTCTGATCAAGAAGACTGGACTAATGTGCTCCAGGCAATTGTGCCACAAGGTCCACCTCATTCTTTCAGTGTACGGTTCCTCAAAGTGTGGAATGTGAACCGCCTGTGGCACAATTGCCTGGAGCATATTAGCAGCCTTCTGGGGTTGGAGG